AAATTCGTCATGCATATGAACCGTCGCTGTCAACACATAGCATACAGTTCGAATACACGAGTTTACCTGTACAAACAATCTCAATTAAAGTCAAGTGACAAAAACTTTCACTGCCTTGGGCTCGCATTCGATGTTCGACAAACTGACTGATTGAAAGATATACAGAACCTCAGTTAATTCATAAAACCTCCATGATGATTAATTCAAACGTGATCATTAAAGGTGAACGGAATACGATACGACAGACATTGACTAGTCACAAACCGTAAATCCTACTCAACGAGGTTCACCCATCGTAACGAGATTTACATACAGGCACTCCCAAACACGTGGCACTGTAGTTGACAGCTGTTAACCCAGTCGACCTGTCTGATCTGCACTGAAGTACACGTACATCATGGATTGAGAACCTCCAGTCGATGAATTTAGTCCATACGCAAACTTGGCGTATCACGGTTGTAAAGCAGAATTGCACGCAGTGGGTTAGTACACTCTACGTTATAATTTCAGTGATCTGTGTGCTTTGGCCTCCATTCCCGGGGGTGAGTTTATGGAACACGAAGAAAGGATCAATCTCGACACATGGTACAACTGCGAACAACGGCAAGGAATATTAGCCATAATAACATTTGATTGGAGGATCAGGTGAAAGTAATCAAAGGGTAAATAAACATAAATCATAACATACAACCCAGGCTCTTGACATGCAGTGAAGCGATGCTAAGTCAAGTTATGCAATTCAATTTTGTGTGCACCAAAGTTTCCGACGTAATCCGTCGAATTACCGTGGCACCGATTACCCCTCACCTGATTGTTATCGGTTGAACCACTGTAGCTATCAAAATTTGCTTGCAGACATACTAGATTGTTTTGTGTTATAGCGACTGAGTTGATAAAAAAGGAAATATGAACATCTCGCAGTATTTGTTTTCTCTTCTCTGTTCTAAAGAACTGGATAAAGGGGACCTGAAGTTTCAAATAAAAAACTTCATATCAGAAAATGCCTGGAGGAAAATTTGAATCAATGGTGTGAAAATGAAGCAACTTATCTCATTAATCGAGAACAGACTTGCATTCATATCGTATTACCTTCGGACGACAGCCCTCTTGAGGGGTTCTGGGCTTCGTTGTTGGCTTAATCCCTGGTCACCTTTGGTCCGTGGGCGGGAAATTGAGCTGACACCCGACAATAAAGTACACACACACATCCTCGTATCTTAGCTAATCTAAGTTCCAGGTCTGAATCCACCACTTACTGGACAAGTCCGTATTATTCAAGGGTGTGATGAAAATTTGGGTTTCCCATGGACAGTGTTTTCAACCAACTTTGAGTGACCAAACACGTTAGACCTCAACGGGGAAGATAAAGTCTATCGATGTATTTTAAACCAATGCAAATGTGGAAGTATTGCAACCATAGTATTCCTATCAACGGGTTTGCATTTCCCGAAGATTTTCATCGCTATCCTAAGAATTGGTGGGAGGGGAAAAAAAATGCAAATTTGATCACGAGCATTCATTCAACGACACTCCAGAAACCAAGTTTCCAGTTCTGTAGATATAGCAACCTACCGCAATTAGTTTCCAAATCTTTTGGATGCAGACCGGCCACACGAATGCGTAGAAGTGGGGTCACCTGAAACATGCGGAACAGCGGAGTTTAACAACAGTGAGTTTCAACCGTAACCGACGATGGAATAGGGAGTGCGCAAACAGGGAATAATGTACGAATAAATCGTTACACAAAAATAAGCCGAATGACTTCGTCCAGAAAGACATACTACCCCGTTTCATAAAAGTGTACGGAAAAAGATCACATCGGTGGCGTATATGTACTGACAAATACAAGAGTTTCGATCACGGATCTCGCGCGTGGAAGACGTGTGCCAACATCTTGCTAACCAGCTCACAATCTGAGTAAAATAAACACAAAAATTTTGCTCAAATACCCCCTCTTCAGTGAAGCTTCTAAAGGACACATAATGAGTGTTTTGTTAGCCCCGATCGAATGCCTCCTGTCCGATTCTATCGGGGATTTAGCCGACTCATTCTTCATCCACTACTACGGTTAGGGTTGCTGGTTATCATGATCTAGCAGTAGGTTTTTCGTGGCTGAGATTTACTTATTTGTTCGTTCATCACACAACGCTGTCTCAGTAATCATCAGTACTCAGGGGAGCGGTTGTTTGGATTGACGCTAGTCACCTTTTGCTTGCAAACCTGTGCTGTGGAAGCCCTATTCACCTATTTTCCAGTGGTGGAGGTTCCCCACCAGTGTGAAGACAACAAGCCAACAACCGGGACTATAAATGGTCACTGGACCGCTGGCAGTTCAACTAAGAGAGCTGATCAAAAACCTGATCCCAACTAACTGCAAGCAACAGACCATGACTGCTGAACCGGGCATCGGCTGGATTGGGCACCATGAAAGTTTGACCCCGTCCGATGGGCTGTGGTTTTTGCGCATCGCTACGCTGCTTTCTGGATCAGGCTTCGATCAGTTTAAGACTCCGGTTGTGGATTTTTCAACAAAATTCACGTGTTTTTGCTTGGGAAACCCGGTAGTATTCCGCCCACAAGAAAATCACGATCTTCATTGTTCATTGAAAAGATATTTGTGCCGTGGTTTGTTTGACATATAGTCTGGACTCAGACGGATATAAAGTGTAACAAACAGACACACACACACACATATATATATATATAACGGTGTTGTGCAACCAATGAGATATTTATTCCATCCAGCCTCTGAGTACATGTCCCCGAAGTAAACTACTGGGAACAACAGTAAATTTACTATTTAACTTCCATCTATTCAGAGTAGTAGCGTGCGATTTTCA